AAGGTTAGTAGGTGAGCAAATGAATTTGTTACTTATTAACCTAAAAAAATAGCTGAAAACTAAGGCTAATTTTGACTTCAGGTGTGCAACATACATTGAAATTATTTACACAACCAGAAGCACCTGAATTTACCCACGCTTTTTTGTGGGGTTTGACTTGTACAATAATTTGTTTTCCTGAGAAAAGAAATGCAATGTATCAGTAAAGTGTGGGTAATTATATCATAACCCTTCATAGTAGATTGTAACTACGATCAGTAAAGTGTGGGTAATTATATCATTACCCCTTCATAGTAGATTGTAAGAGTTGTTCCTGTCCTGAATATGCATGAAATATTTCCTACTGGCAGTTTAGCAAACAACAATCAATCAACCAAAATATATATATGATACGTTTTCCCCACAGTGAGTAAAGAAATAATAATTATTAGGGATGTCAACTCGGTGAACAATTACTATAATTCGAGTACTCGTTGGTTTTATCGAGCGATAATCGAGTACTCGCTTGGAAATATATCTACAACACGGAAACACAAAAATACGTATTTTACATTCTTAGTTTTATAACAGTTGTTCAACGGAAGAAAAACCATATACATAGGTAGCAAACTGTTTTGATTGACATGAACAATAGAAATCTGCACAATCGGTGATTTAAACTGTCTAACTGATTGGAACATATGGCTTAAATACCATCTGCGTGATCGTAGCTCTTATGGTCCTTATGGTATTTTTTGACAATTTGCAGACCATTATAAAAAAATATCATAAGAACCATAGGAGCTACGGTTCCGCAGCTACTTAAAAATAAATGATTACATACTTTACAATTTTGTTGAGAAATCTGAATTTTTCCATTTCGGATTTACTATCAAATGACCAATCGGAACATTTTATTTATTCTAATTTTGATCGGAGTTTGCGTTAGATGTGACATTAGGGATGAAGCAAATACATAAGTATTTGGGACAAGGAGTTACACACCATAATTAATAACTCATTACCTTCAAGTACTAATTAAGTAAAAGACAATAATCTATTCAATATAATTTAATGAACACCTATTGAAAAATTATAACAAGTAAGAAACTATATCAAACAATAGTATTTGGTAATCGTTAAGGAAACACATTTAATGTTTACAAAGGCGTAAGGATTAGAAGTTTAACTATTAACTGAGGGTCACCAGAGGATGCAACGAATTTATTCTATTTGGAAGCATTTTTCTTATCAACTATTATTGGGGACAGTCGGTTTTGCAACTTTGAAACAATAGTCTTGCAGACGAAAATATTTGCTCTGATGGTACCGATGTGACGGAATGGCTAAGAAATGTATAGTTTAAATAGGCATTAGCTACGAGATATAAAAAAAAATTTATGATTTTTTTTGTTCAATCATTAATGAAAGTGATATAATGAAATAATAATTCGATTTTAGCAGCCAATTTAGTTCAATTTTGTCAAAATAAGCTAAGAAATTGTAATACTTCTAAATCATTTCAAACCTATGCAATACATATCCACCTTGTTTCGAATGCGAGATATATTTACCGGAGAGGCAAAGATTAGCGGTTAAAATTCGGTTGAGTTTAATTTGTTTTAAGGTGGTATTTCTAATCGTAAGCATCACAATTCACTAGAACTTCTCCGCTTTCGAAAACAAAGTATTTTTTAAATGTTATATCTTACATAGGGTAAAATAAACGTATGGTAACAATTTCAGCCAAACTGACCCATGTTCTAGAATACTTTATTGCCGAGGTATTTGTATTTCAATCACATGCATAGACCTAAAATAAATTTCCTTTTGACACATGTAGTACTGGTGTACAACATACAATTCTTACTCTCATGTAATGTATTATTACATTTAATTTTATCACATACATTTTATTACAGAAAAATATTTACTAAACAATTGTTCAAATGGTGTTTAGCAATACACTAATATAGCGTATCTTCGGAATGAACTTTAGAATGACCTAATTTTTGTCTAACGGAAAAAAGGATACATATTTCCAAACTATTTGGTATAAGCTGTTAACCCAAGTTGGTGTCACGAACATTAATTTATCATAATCAAGAAAATGCATAAAGATCAAAAACAAATTGTAATTGATTTTCATTTGCTATCGCGAAGTGTAGTCTTAATATTATCAGATTCTTATTTTAGTCTAAATTTGATTGAGTAGCACTTATAAAATAAGAAATTCTTTAAATTGTAATATGACCTCCCATTTAACCGTATTGTTTAGATATATATAGACATTTATTTGTAACATATATCACTATAATTACAAAATCGACGGAATTCTTATATTTCCCCAAGAAAAATGGACACCGGGGATATTACTAAAAACGATGTGGTATATAAATAGGCTATAATTATGGTTTTATGCTACAGAATTTTGTATGAACTCACCGTGCCCTTTCTTTGATAATTTTTTTTCTTCTAAATTCTGCGTTGTTAACAATTTTTCCCCTTTAATTTAAAATTATATTAAAGCAAAACAACAAGGAAACGACCATTTAACTTCAAGGGAGGGGTTATGGTTTTTTCCTAAAAAATATTCTGATCCCCAATTATATGAAAAAAAATATTGTGGTCAAGCAGATGACAAAAAAAAATATTCTGAATCCAGATTTCCCCCATACCTTAAAGTGTTAAATTTTGAAAAAAATATTTGATCGATAGCGTTGAAAAACTAAAAAAGAATGTTCTGACTCAGACAAAAAACCATACCCCCTCCCCCCTTGAAGTTAGTTAAATGGTTGCTCCCTAACCACTTTTGGTGCACATTTATGGATTAAAATAAATCAATAACAGTAACATTAAAACAAATTGTGTAATTGCATTAGAAGATATGTAATCAAGCTGGATTGGAAAAGGAATCCCCCAAACTGTTTAGGTCGACTTCTCAAAATTTTCCATCTGAGAATTTGTCAAAATGTATGAAAAATAAATCCAAACCCATTTTGGAATATCGATATGTAGATGCATCCTTTCCCTAGACTGAGGACTTAACAGCAGTAGTACACTTCTTCCATGCGTTTTAAGTAAGCCATGTCAATTTTCTTATTTTTGAAGAATATACAGGCTTAGATTTGATTCAAATTTGATTAAAACTGTCAAACTTGCCTTACTATCCTTAAATAGTACATCGTGTACTCAGTAGTAACATTTTCTTGATATTACTTAATTTGCAAAGTTCACCATGATGGACAGCTTTCTCTTAATTATACTACTTCATTTGAAATATTTATGTCCTAGAATAGTTAATGGTTTCTAAGACTTATAGTAATGGTTACTTTGGGGTTTTGTTCAATAGGTTTTCTTGAATTATTCCATATATCTATCAGTACAACTCGTGATATAACAAATACATATGACACGGGTTATGTTCTTCTCATATATTTTATGACGGTATAATACTAAACCCCTAACAGGAGGGATTGTGCCTGATATCCATATGATGAAGACATAATATTTTAATCAGTTTAATTGAGGTCTGGAGCTGGCATGTCAGTAACTGCTAGTAGTCTGTTGTTATTTATGTATTATTGTCATTTTGTTTATTTTCTTTTGTTTCCTATTCTGACATCGGACTCGGACTTCTCTTATACTGAGTTTTATTGTACGTACTGTTGTGCGTTTGTTTTTTCTACATTGGCTAGAGGTATAGGGGGAGGGTTGAGATCTCAAAAAACATGTTTAACCCCGCCGCATTTTTGCGCCTGTCCCAATTCAGGAGCCTCTGGCCTTTGTTAGTCTTGTATCAGTTTTAATTTTAGTTTCCTGTTTTTAATTTGGAGTTTAGTATGACGTCCATTATCACTGAACTAGTATACATATTTGTTTAGGGGCCAGCTGAAGGACGCCTTCGGGTGCGGGAGTTTCTCGCTGCATTGAAGACCCATTGGTGGCCTTCAGCTGTTGTCTGCTCTATGGTCAGGTTGTTGTTTCTTTGACACATTCCCAATTTCCATTCTCAATTTTATTACATACGTTGACGATAACGAACGTAAATGATGAAATTGGAATTCAAAAAAAATCATTACCTGTGTGTACTAAGTACTAAGACGGATAAACCTGCATGAAAGTATATATTTTTAAATCGTTATAATACTATGTCCAGGAATAAAACATGCAAACAATTACTAGACTAATTCGTTTTGGAGATAAAGTATACCGTCAAGAGACTTCATACTAAATGTGCCCCTCTTACTGCAGCTTTTTTCCTATACTTTTGACCTAGTACAGTACATACCGTTAATCTACTTTCAGTGCTTACTGCAGCTATTAAGACAATATACTAGTAATCTCTGTAAACAATCATGTTTTCCTGCAATCTGATTACAATACTGTAAATTCAGAAATTATTGCGTGCATTTATTATTGCGATTTTGTCATTTAAGACTAAAATGCGGTTTTAATTTTTGCGATATTGAGAAAAATCCTGTTTAATTCATATAAAAATTTCAAAATGCGAGTTCAAATTATTGCGATTATAACCCTGTCGCATTTTCGCAATTATAAACACATCGCAATAATTTCTGAATTTAGAGTACAGATCATGTGTCCACGCATTGACTGATGTAATAAGTTCGTAATAGTTATCCCATGAGGACGCGGTGTGTCAGTGTAAGATCATCCCGATGGCCGAGTGGGATAACTATTTTACATCCCAGCTCTATCGTCTAGGCTATATGAAAAAAACATTTACGCTTCATAACATCTAGTTCAGAATGCCATACAATAATTATAATATACTTTATATATTACTATATAGTATATACCCTTTATGAGCCCCGGATACAATGTTTGAGTATGTTAAATTAACGTAGAGTTTGTATCCAGTCGTCCTGGTGTAAGGGTATGTATTAGATAAAATACAAAGGTAACAAAGAAACAGGCCGGTAACAACCGTTGCCGGATAGTTTTTCTGCACGAGTAGTCAGGTCAAGGTCCGAGGCGACAGCCGAGGACCTTGACCTGACTACAAGTGCAGAAAAACTATTCGGCTGGTTGTTACCGGCCTGTTTCTTTTGTTACTTTTGTTTTTTATCTGACTTGTACGACGTGTCTAACTAGAAATTATTACATTTTACATTTTAAAGACAATCGCATATTAATAAAAGAAGATTTTTTTTTTAAATTCCATACCGGTTTATGTACTACGATGTTTGGATGTATTTAGTCTTTAATTAATTAGTACATTTGCTTTAACTTCAGGGCTTTTCAAATCTTTAAGTAGTGTCCGAATAAAATTTATACTATCTTTAAATATATATATGCATATAATCTCCACACCACTCCAAGAAACAAAGAAAGAATTCAACAAACAAAAAAAAGCAGTTCATACAAATATAACAACCCCCCCCCCCCCCCCCAAAAAAAAAAAAACAACAAAAAACAAAAAAACAAGCAAAAAAAAAAAAGAAACATGAATAACACATTTTAGAGTTTTATGACGTTTAATAATCAAATTAGAAAAAAAAAATCCATCAAACGTAAAGAAATGCGTACATATGAAAGCAATGAAATAAAGACATATATAAATAAAGACAAAAACGATTATAACTGTTTTATCAGACATTAAATGAAAAGAAAAGTATTGAATTTTGACTCGTTTTTAATTTTTTGTGTGGAAATCATAATGTTCAGTCTATTTTCGTGCTCGTTGGAATTATTTGATATTCGAGTAGACCCAGGAATTGAACACGTAACACACTATATTGGCATTTACCCAATCTTGATTGTCTAAAATGGGTGATAGTCTATTTGACATGGAGACGGATTTCGCTTTGTCACAGTTCAATTTAAGCAAGTTTCTTGAAGATGAAGAAAAGAGGGGACATCTTCCGTACAGTTTAGATTTAGACGACACGGAAGATTTTAGCCTAACTTCCAAGCAAACCAACGAGAGGTTTGGACGACCAGCTACAACAGACGAGGTGCAGCTTACCATGCTAAAGAGCTTTCCGGCAAACACAGTCAAAAACACTAACTAGGGCATAAATACCTACGACGCATGGGGCAGATGGCGTAATGAATATGTTGGAACAAACGGGACATCTTCTAGTGAACAATATACCCTTGTGCCTCCTTTAAATTCGGAACTATCTGCCGAAGAATTGGATTTCTGGCTTACCAAGTTTGTTGTAGAGGTAAGTAAAATTTAATTGTCCACTTCTTATGCCATGAAAGTATTATTAAAAAAATAAGTTCAGTTAAAAAAGTATGTGTATCGGAATTAATGGACCCATATTTTGTTCTAGGCCAATCTTAAAGTTTGTTATACTATATTCGTGATGTTTAACTGTTTAATTTTATCAAATATTTGGATGATATTTGCAAACAACTCCAGACTTTTGTTCTGCTTTTATTGTTTTTTCTTTATTTTCTTTTTTAAGACCATTTTTTTTTGTTATAAATTCACTAGTCTGCCCAAACTATAAGAATTTAAAATCTACTGAAACATGGATACCCTTATCAGATAAAAAAAAATGACAAAATATCATGACAATCTGTTTATTTAAAAGATGTTAGTATACACGTCATATTTGTGCTAATTATATATATAGATATAAATATAAACGGACGCGCACGCACACACACACATACGCACATGAAACACAAACACACACACACGTTTAGTTTGCACTGTGCATTTACCCCCGATTTCAGGCATTTCGTGATAAGAAACTATACGTAAAATTCCATCCCTTTTCTGATTGGTTTTGAACCTACTGATATTTTATAAACTATGAAATTAAATCTGGTCAGTTTTACATTAACAGGTCAGGAATAACCACCAATTGGTGGATTATATCTCAATTGACGTATAATCCACCAATTGACATATAATGGTATAGACCAATTGACGTATAATTCTTTGTTTTTCAAAGCAAATTATTCAACCAAAATGGAGCATTGTTTTCTTAAAACCATATTATTGTATGAAAACATGTCAAACATTCCTAGTTTAGTATAGTGACATAACATATTGCATTTAATCAATAATTGTATTTGCAGTTTCTTCTATTGTTATCTTGTCAATTCTTGATTGGCAAATTTACCACTAATCACCTGTCAATGGACATCAATACTGTCTGCAGTCATGTGATTATGAGTACAACTCCACAGGTGAATGAAGCTCTTTGTTAATACTTGACTTTCATTATTAAAAGTCAATCATGGTCAATAGTACAGATGTTTCAACAAAAGAAATGTTGTACACATGCATTCTCAAGAGATGCAGCAGGCTTTGACAAAACTGAAACTTTCGGAGGACTCAATAATGGTCATAAAATAGGTTGTAAGTTGCAAAATGATGCTCCTATCTCACACTAGCATTTTATAACAAAAAAACTTGCATTATACGTCAATTGGTCTATACCAATATATGTCAATTGGTGGATTATACGTCAATTGAGGTATAATCCACCAATTGGTGGTTATTCCTGACCTGATTAACTATTTGGCATACTGCTGTTGAGTTATAACTTAATTATATTCTATTGCTCAAAAGTACATTTTTTCAATTGGATCAAACAAAAGTTTTTCAACATAGTACCGTCTTTTACAATACATACATTCATTATCAAATTATTTTAACACGAAGAAATTTGAAGAATCGAATTATCCAGTAAATATAAAATATCTAGTGCCTCCAATTTTTTCAGAACACATAATTAATTAAGATATGTATTGCTTAAAATTTGAAATACAGTTTTCTGATGGGATAAATATCTTCTGACGGATAAAGATGATGAACGGAATTGAATTACAGTTGATTTAAAATATCCATGATATCTTTGATTAAAAATCCATGGATACGTTTCTGATAACAACATTAATTCTTTCTTGTTTTGTTATACATTTTAATTACATCTAAAACAAACTATTTTACAGACATGCGTTTACATAAAGAGACTATTTTCATGTACATACATATATATTACTTTACATTGTGTTAACACTATTGTACAAGACATCTCGTTTAACATTATAGGTTAAAAGACAAGATGGCACGGAGTACCCGGCAGACTCTTTGAGATTACTGTGTACGGCAATATGGAGACACCTCCGAGATACTTGTAGGCGGTACGATTTAAATCCTTTGAATAAGGAAAACTCTAAGTTTGCCACCTTCCAGCATACTTTAGACGGAAAAATTAAGGACATTGAACGCCTTAATCCTCACGTTCCAAAACGGGCTGAACCCATCACTGCAGAAGAAGAAAACAAAATTTGGATAGCTTTGTTTTATAACTATGAAAATGATTCGAAATGCCTGTCGTATGCTGTGTATTTTTACAATTGTAAATTATTTGCTTTGAGAGCAGCCGACGAACATTCTGATCTAGAAGTCAATCAATATACATTCGGACGTAGTGAAGAAGGTTTTTATCTTCAGTTCCAGGGGAAAACTTCCAAAAATTGTCAAGGCGGTATCTACCACAAAAAGGCTGAAAAAAAATGTCTCCGACAGTATGAAAATACACTCAATTCGAGGTGTGTTGTTAAGCTGTTCCAGTTTTACCTTTCCATGATACCATCAGACGGGGCCTTTTACAGACGTCCAATAGCAGGAAAGACGGCATCAGGACATTCAAAGTTTTCACGACAAAAGATAGGCATACATACAATCCAAGGCTACATGAAAGACATGTGCAAACAGGCCGATGTAGGTGGCAGAAAAACAGGTCATTCAGGAAAGGTAATCTATTTTCTAATTTCTCATTGTAACTGCTTCTTGAACAGTTGAAGTTATTCGGGGGTATAAAAAAAGTTTGACAGAATTATTGTGCGATGGGTCGAAATGTTGTATATACCACTCTTTTTGAACAAATTTTAATAAACAAATAGTGTTAGCGGGCTTATATTCTCAGGCTAAAGGTAATTCAACAATCGCATAGACGGATGGGTCCCCCTTTTGTGGGAAAAATTTGGTTGATTATATAGGGAATCACTGAAGCATGACCGGAGCGGGTCCCCTTAGGTCAGTCAGTGCCCCCCCCCCCTAAATAAAAAGTTCTGGATCCGCCACTGAATCGTTTGTTTTATAAAGAAAAAAATAGAGAGAAAGAGAAAATATTGTTCAAGCATTAAGGAACTATTCGCTAATAAAATTAGGAGATGGCTATTCAAAAGTTTAAAAGAAAATTAGTCATAAATCTACGAGCTTGTTGTCATCCTACTTGACACACCATTTAAAAGCTTTTGAGTAATATCATACATTTCTGTTCATATATTATATATACATCTATTGGTTGAAAAGTTTTGTATCTGGTTATCTGTTCAAATATTTTAAAGATGAAATAATACAAATGCTTTCATATTTATGAAATATTTCATTTCAAGACTAAATTATGTCAAAATATGCTTATCCAAGAAAACATCATTTTGGCATGTATCTTTCATGGTGTGTTCGATTAATAAATTTCTCACTTATGTATGTTGCAATTCGTTTGGGAAAAAAATAATCAGATATGTTACAATTTTGTATTGTTTAATTAAAGCTATGATGGGTTACTTGCACAAAAATATACTTTTCTTTTTTGTTGTCAAAACTGGCCAAAGTCTTGGAGGGATTAAGTGTTTTTTGCAGGTTTTTAATTTTTTCGTTATAAAAAAAATGTTACCCAGAACTAATTTAAATCTGAGACACCCCACATCTTTAAATTGGTGAACCCTTTTTTTCAGGTTACTACTGCAACAATGCTCTTCCGTGACAATTTCGACGAGCAGCTTATAAAAGAGCGTACGGGTCACAAGAGTGACGCAGTCAGAACGTACAAAAGAACCAGTGAAGACCAAGGAAAAAGGATTTCTGACGTACTTCAGCCTCCCGTAGATGTAAAGAAAGTAAAACCTGCCGACCAGAAAATATCCGAATCGCAGATGAAAATGCCAGTTGTTCAATCAAACAATGAGGGCAGCTATATCAAATTTTCCAAAGGAGATGTGTATCTTGAATTTAAACTGTAATAAGCTGACCAACAACATAGAGTGCAAATTAATCATTATTAAAATGTTACTTTTCAGTGATTTTCTTTTGAATGATCACGCATATTTATTTATGTTAAAACCCATATTCCGTCAGAGTAATTTAATTTTGAAGCATTAAAATCCTAGATTTTTTTCGCAGCATAAATGAGTTGTCTTGTTTATTCGTTCGCTTGCTCGCACCTGTTGCTACTCTAATTTACCAAATTTGATCAGATTTGATTATATATATTTCCTGTCTTTTTTATTGAAATATAAACGTCGGTACCAGCATTTCTTTACCTTCAGCATTGTCCACACTACTATTCATGTAAAAAAAAAAATTATTTACGGACCGACCTTTCAGCTTCAAAAGGGGGTATGTTTTTTTTTCGGAGTAAGAAATTATATAGTTTTTCAACGCTTTCACCCAAATATTGTTTTTCGAAATTAGAACTATGATATACAGTATACGGGAAATCAGGAATCAGAACATTGTCTTGTCATCTGCTCGACCACAATATATTTTTCTCATAAAAATTGGGGATCAGAATATTTTGTAGGAAAAAAACATAACACCCCTTTTTAAGTTAAATGGTCAATCCTTAAGTGTACTGATATAAATAGTAATATAGTGGAATTTTTTTTAAATATTATTATAGTTATTGATGCCAAAGTAAATATTTTAATAAAAAAGCCAGGAAATATGTCGGTGAAACAAAAAGTTCAAATCTTATTGAAATTTAAAGTGCCCTTGAACTCACTGTCATGCACGAGTGATTCTATTCATTAAAACAGTCCGTGTAACAACTAAAAAGTGTCCGTGTATCATCTAAAAAGAGTCCGTGTAACACCCGTTAATGTACTGTTTTTCTATAGCTCTGCTGGGGGTAAAGTCGTACAAATATCGTAGCTTCATATGCTTGAGACTTGAGTTTGTTTCCCGCACTGGAAATTTAGTGGATTTTTTCTACGTAAATTTTGAAAGTCAGTCTTTTTTCCGCATAGATATTTCTAAGTTTTATTGTGTGTTCGACATTCCCGCCAAAATGTTACAGAACAAAAGAAAGCATGCAGAACAAAGAAACTCAAAGAAGGGTGATCTGGTAGGGGTGATCCGACTCAGATCACCCCTGTTAGAACAAAGGAGTTGGGATGTAATGGTAATTATTACTCAATGAATTCTGTTGTGGTAATTATTACATCAGACAATGAAATTCCTACCTACATATTTCTTAAGGTGTATATCGTTACGACAATACAAGAAGATCCCGAAAGGTCTTTCAAACAGAAAGTAAACGGAGCGTTGACAGATGATCTGTATTTTAATCAGATTGTTTTTCCCAAATAAAAGTTATCCATCTGAACTCACTCTTACTTAATCCAGCATTCAAGGTAAGGGTGATATGTCTTTCAACAGAATGCTACATTTTAAGCTATGTAAAGCTCCGAAACAGATTGTAGATCTTGTACAAAGACGGGTATATTTATATTTTTCATTAACCCTTTTCCGTTCAGATAATGCATGCATTATTTGCCACTGGACGTTAACCTTCCGACATTTCTGACATCGACGTTTAGTTTAAAAAATCCATGAATTTTTACACATTGTTAATATGCCTTCCCTTTCGAATTAAACTGTAGCGCCATCTCATATGTCAATGAAAATATTATCTTCATTAGTACCCCAAAAATAACAGCACGGGATATATATATATATACAAGTCTAAATTGAAAACAACGTTCAAACCTATGATTGCGTTGGAAAAAAAATATATATATATATATATTGGTGTACAAATTTTTGCACCTCATGTTTGCGGTATACCATCTTTTCCGCAAGTTTATTGTTTTCTGTTTGGTATTAAATTAATAATTATGATCCATTTTGTTACATCTTGTGATACTTTTATTTGGCAATCGCCATGGCAGTCAGCAGGGTTTAAGAACATCAGTTGTTCGACCTGTTAGTCAAATGCGTTTTGTTAAAATATACTTTTTCACTTTTTGGTCTTTTCGAAAATGTTGTTTGTGCTGTATTTAGACCCCTCTACCAAGAAATTTGTTTTGCATGCACACGTATAAAAATTGCGGTTTTTATCCAACGCAATCATAGGTTTGAACGTTGTTTTCAATTTAGACTTGTATATATATATATATATATATATATATATATATATATATATATATTTCGTCTAAACAACAGCCCGACAATGTTAGATCTGTAAATTTGCGGAATACACGTCTAAACATGTGACAACTTTATGACTGACATTCTCCATCGGATAACACGTGGTTATACAGGGCTAACACAATATATATATATATAATTCGTCTCAAATTTAGCCGAACAATGTTAGATATTCAAATTTGCGTTAGCAAATTTTTGTTCTTCCCTCAAAGGGAATCGAACCCTTGCGTCTGTGACATCGTGGCAACACCGCCTGCGTCGTGTCCAGCGTCATAGACCACTCGACCACCTATGCTACATAAAATATAGCTTTCGGTGGTCGATGACTTTCCTCGTCGGCTTTATCTAGGGTTGTAACACAGTACATGATGTATAGTGGCTAGTAGATGGTGTACTTTTCAGATCAGCTGTTTTTGTCTGTCGTAAAGGATGTAATGTTAACTACCATGCTGCCACATCAAATTTTAATTTCATTTTACACGTCTAAACATGTGACAACTTTATGACAGACATTTTCTTTCGGATAACACGTTGTTATACAGGACTAACACAATCTATACAAGCCCTGTATAACCACGTATTATCCGAAAGAGAATGTCTGTCATAAAGTTGTCACATGTTTAGATGTATAATACAATTAAAATTTGATGTGACGGCATGGTAATTAACATTATCATCCTTTACGACCATAGAGTTTACGACGCCAAGTACTTTGATCATGCTTTCAGTGACTTACAGTTTACTGATGTTTCAATCTCGGAGATCGATAAAGTGGAAAAAATAATGGTAACAAAAGTGAGGGTATCGTAAGAACTCTAAAAGATGCGAGACCGTATGCTTCGACAGTATCTCCTTCCATGCATGCATCACCCGCCATGCTAATCCATCAGTCAAGATGTCACAATCGGGTCAAATATGTTAACTTAAACGAATGTCATACTTGTGAGACTTGAAATATGTAAATGTATTCTGTATATTTACGACCAGACCTCTGATTTTAAATACAAGTTAGTTTATCATCTTTTTTGCAAATGACTCACAAATGAATAATAAAATTCAAAATGTACGTCACAAAAAGATTAAAAAGGATTAGTAAGAGATCAAATCGGACTATTAAACTAGTAATGCCAGTATATAAGCCGGAGAGCTCAGATGGAATTAAAAATGTTTTGCCATGGAAGCTTCCAAAAAGCGACATAGCATTTGCATATGGTTTTAAAAATATGTTAATGTAATTCGAATTTTTAAAAAACAACATACTGTTACATGTACATGTTTATAATTGAGATTCTTAGAATTATTAATTTTGATAACCCCCATAGTATATCTACCCCTTTCTTGTGTTGTTTCCGTTTGTCAATTTTATCAAAAGTTACGGTAAAATAATTTAAAAGCCTCCGTTTATTTCAATATATACTAAAACAGTTTTCTTTCCAGTAATTATAAACAAAATTTTCCTCATGAATTTCAATAACATTTATTCAACCATCAAAGGCAGAATGTTCAAAGTTTTTGGCATGTGTAATGTGTATCTCATGGCTAAATTATTTGTGATGAGTCCTTTTTCTTTATTTGGCAAATTTCCTTTATCGTTTATCAAAAAAGGACTAACATATTGGTCTAATTGCTGAACATTACTATAATGTGTTAAACAACTTTTTTAGTATTCCTATTTTCGAGTTATCAGTATATAAAAATATATGGAAAATAAAAAAAAAATATTTGTTGTGTCTCTTAGAGTTTTACATGATATGACTAAATTCTTTATGTGAAATAATTGGGTATTTGTGTTTATTGTTGTGGCAATCTTTAAGCAATTGTCTAAGACAACGTTGGCATTGAAGATGTCTTACGACGATTTACATTCAAACTTCTTGATGAAATGAGCTTCTGTGTCAAGTGTTCTGTATTCGTTTTGCCAATTCATGTTTTAGAACGAGAAATTATACTTACTGGGATGTAGCACATTTCTATGTTTACTGAAATCTATTTGTCTTACGGTTGTGCCCTAAAATTGTCGCCTTTGAATCTTTCTTTTAATGATTTCTGTGGTTGTCTTATGGACGCTTCATCATAGCTGTTGCCAACGTATTGTTCGTAAGAAATAAGATTTTCGAAGCCACAGTTTAATTCATGATTTGACAGAGTATATTTTTCATTTAACAACGTCAGTTAGGTTCCGATTTCGATGTATTTACACATACCACATCGTTTGTCGTTACTTTGTAAAATTAAGGTCGGTCGCCATGATATCGAGTCTAGGTCACTATTTTTCCGGTGCTAGGTTGTCTCTTTTTTTACAATGGGTCTGGTTATAATACTGTTCTAATACATTTAAAATCGGAAGGATTGCTTTTGTCATACTGAACATGTCGTGGTTGTGTGAACTTTGAGTATCAAAAGGAATTGTTCCCTCGTTTCAGGACGGTCCCAAAGTTTCTGTTGTACATGTTACAATATAAAAATAAGGAGATGTGGTATGATTGCCAATGGCGTTGTCAGTTTGTTTTCGATCTATGAGTTTGACTGTCCCTCTGGTATCTTTCGTCCCTCTCTTGTATACACATTATTTATTAAAAACTAACAAGTAAACAATGGCGTTCGACTCGACTTGGTGAATAGTTGAAAAATTATAAATGGTCCCGAATAAAGTTTGAAACAACCTGACAATAATACCTGCAACACTCGGTATGCAATTACAATATTTTACTCAGAACAAACGTCTGTATGTATTGTTTTGTTGGTAAATAAGTGCTTGGATTTCAACGCTTTATTCATTTTGAATAAACCGTAACAGTTGTCAGTTCAACCTCAAAATACAAATGAAAATACGTTTCGCTTATCCGTTTACTGTTGAGAATAATTTGCAAAATGCTTGCTTATAACCCGCATAGCTGTTTTGTCCATATTGAGTTCTATATCCCGATAAAATGTGTGTCACCTAATTACTACAGACTCGTATCTTAACAGTATAATTGTTTGTTTATGATTACTGTGGCAACCCTTTATCTGCTTTTCTGACTTTTATGAAGGTATCGTTTTTAACATTCTTAAGGACATGTTTTTTTAGCGATTTAGGTAGGTTTTGTTTCACTTCATTGTGGTTGAATGGTTTAAGTGGACATTGTGTTAAATGATGTGTACACAAATGAGGAGATGTGGTAGTTTTTCCAATGAGACAACTATCCCCCAAAGTTCAAATTGAGTGGATGTAAGTAATTATAGGCAACCGTACGGCCTTCAACAATGAGAAAAACCTATACCGTATAGTCGGCTACAAAAAATAACAGTAGACAGCTATCTAACAGGCAAAAATTCCCATAACTTTGAAAAATAAGGGCATAAACCACCAGCATGGGGACACATTCTACAGCATCCACATGGCACGAGCAACAAACCCTGCAATCAATATATGACTGTCTAAATGAGTTTATTTTTTAACCATTAACCTTTCCTTGGTCTGTTTTTTTCCGTTCACAAAAGCATCTTAATCATAATCTTTCTCGTCTGAAAAAAAAGTTTTTTTAGTCTAATGTTTATGGTCTGGTCTTCAATAATTCGCCAAACTTTAGACAGATTTTTTTCCCAAGGATATTTGCCTTATCCACATTTCGCTCATTTTGTCTACTATATTGTTCGTAGCTATCTTCTGTTTTTCATCATTTACTTTGGGAATTACATTGTGTGCATTTAGTTTTATATCT